TTAATACTTGGAAATTGGCGAATATTTATCAATCGGACTAAATATTCGTCAAAGTTAACCGCTGTAAAAGGTATATATTTCAACAATGGAGAGTACTACTTTATTGTCTGCAGCATTTCGACATGTTCGACGACGTGAAGTCAGCAAAGCGTTTACATGTTTTCATACCGAAAGTAAAGAAGAAGGCATGGACAAGGTAATTTTATGACGATCAACGGCTCTGCGTTACGGTCTCCTTCGCGCTTACATWCAGAAACTTTAATTTAGACACTTTCTGTTTACTTCAAACGCTTTACTTGAGCAGGTACAGTTTTGGTATTAGTTTACAGACGCCAAAGTATTTTTGAATACCTGCAATAGGCCAAATTTACTTTCAAAAGTACATCATGTTATTGTGTTTCTGGTACTGCTTATCACACAGAAAAAACGCACACCGGATATTGTGTGATTGCTGTAAAAAGCTAATCCATTTTAAAATCTCACCAATGAAAAGGAGTTTGAGTTTTTGGAAAGTGTCTACAGCGAGGATGTGTCTGAGGAGCCGAAAGTTACGGCGAAAACGTTGGAAAGAAAGCGCGAGGCTTTGAGCTTTTAACGATGTAAATATGAAGAATATTTTGTTGTGAAACTGAGGATGAATTTCTGACACAAGTCGTGAGGGATAATAAGGATTTTCAACCAAAGTGTACGGATAGCAWYGAAATGATTGAAAAAATGTTGGATATGTTTTTTTGTGACAAAGCTGCTCAAGCGAGCAAAGCTACGGACATGGATATTGTCGCAGTTGTGAAAGAATTGGTAGCTGGCCAAGCGGATTTATTGCAGAAATTTGTTGCTTCACAAGAATCTTTGAAAGAATTTATTGCAGCGTCTCAAGCAAAAGGAGTGTCTGTTGAAACAAAGCTGCCAAAGCTAGATTTAAAGACATTCAGCGGAGGTTACGTTCAATGGTCTGAATTTTATGATACGTTCCAGTGTGCCGTACATTCAAAAGTAGGATTAGCACCTGTGCAGAAGTTGCARTACTTAAAGGCATGTCTCAAGGGAGAAGCCGCCGCGTTGGTACGCAATTTGAATCTCAATAACGACAATTACACCATCGCACTACAATTATTGAAGAAAAGATACGAGAATGTAAAGAACATAAGGGAAGCTCATTTGGATGCTATTTTCAACTTCCCTATCATTACTTCAAAGGCTGAAATTAATCTTCGAAAATTGTGCAGTGTTATGAGTGAAAACGTCCAAGCTTTAAGAAACCTGGGTGAAGCGACGCAACACTGGGACTCTTTACTTATTTATCTGTGCAAGAAAAAGCTCGACGCGGAATCCCGATTTCAGTGGGAAAAGCATTCTGCGGATATGGACAACCCATCATTTGAGGAAATGAAGGATTTTCTATCGAAACATGCTTATGCATTGGAAGCTTCTGGAGAGAAATCAGTGAAAAGGCCTACAACTGCTAAAAGTTTCAACGTTGTTCAAGGAGATGTTTGTTTTCTCTGTAATGGTGACCATCGTKTGCCTTTTTGTACACAATTTACGTCTTTATCACCACAAGAAAGGAAGAGTAAAGTTGTGGGATTGCGTCTTTGCCTAAGACATCATTTTGTATCTCGTTGCCCGAAACCCGCAAGTTGTAATACTTGTCAAAGGAAACACCATCCTACTCTGCATTACGAAGAAACAAGTAAAGAAAATGTCGGTGTCAAAGAATCTTCTGCTTCTTCGAGTAGTCATTTGGCTCAGGTTGTTGAGCCTGATAAAGAAGTTCTATTAGGAACTGCACTTGTTCACGCGCTTTCTTCAAATGGYGAAAAGGTGTTATGCAGAGTTTTGCTGGATCCTGGGTCACAGTCAAGCTTTGTATCCAAAGGATTTGTGCAACGTTTGCGTCTTAGCAAGAATTCACTGAAGGATTGTGTAAGGATTTGTGGCATTGGCGGAGTTTCAAAAGGAGTTRYCAACCAATYAGCMCAAGTTGTATTATCGTCATTGGTTCCTGGTTTTACTCCAGTTACGGTAAACACGCTGATAATGGATCGTGTTACTTCAAATATTCCAAGGCATGGGATAAGGARTATTKACTGGCCTGAACTTGAGAATCTTTGTTTAGCGGATGAGCATTTCCGTACAACTGGTCCAATCGACGTGTTGCTGGGCGCAGATGTGTATCCAAAGCTTGTGGAAACTGGTATGATGGTTCTTAACAGCCCTAACAAAGAGTTGGCTCAGCAAACCATTTTCGGATGGGTTATTACTGAATCTACTTTTATTCATGATGATTCATTGGATCAAGTTGCTTCAAAGAATGATAAAGTTTCTTTTTTGGTGCAAATTGACGACGCTCTTAAACGCGTCTGGGAGATTGAGAAAAATCCGCGCGTCGAGCAGTGGTCCTTAGAAGAAAAGGAATGTGAGCGACATTTCAAAGAAACTACTTTTCGACAGCCTGATGGCAGACACGTTGTGTCGTTGCCATTTAAAGGACACTGTRATGTTGGAGAAAGTCGTCAACAGGCTTTACAACGCTTTCARGGTACAGAACGGCGTTTTGCTAACAATGYAAGTTTTAAGGAAGCTTACAGTGCTGTTATGCAGGAGTACATTGACTTAAATCATGCAGAAAAAGTACCCGAAGGAAGTGYGAATGTACCTACATCGTATTATATGCCTCATCATGGTGTTGCTAAGGAAACAAGCTCTACAACAAAGCTTAGAGTAGTCTTTGATGCGTCAGCTAAATCGTCATCTGGGAGTTCGCTTAATGACTGTCTTATGGTTGCACCAAAGATTCAAGACGACCTGATTAATRTTTTGATGCGATTTCGTTTGCATCCAGTGGCTTTCTCTGCGGATATCGAGAAAATGTATCGTCAGGTTGTGTTACACCCGCATGATCGTGACTTTCATCGATTTTTGTGGAGAGATGGTGCGTCAATGGACATTGGAGAGTATCGGATGTCTACTGTCACCTTCGGAGTTGCATCATCAGCCTACCATGCGCAAATAGTCTTAGTTCAACTGGCGGAAGACGAAGCATTGAACTACCCTCTAGCTTCTAAAGTTGTGAAACAGGATTTATACATGGACGACTGTTTGTCCGGAGCGCCAAATGTGGAAAAGGCTGTTGAATTGCAACAACAACTGATGGATATGCTCAAGAGCGGAGGATTTCGCCTGCGCAAATGGTCTTCAAATAGTCCCGAGTTGTTAAAGCATCTTCCGCAAGATATTTGTGAGCTGAAAACTGCAGTGGATATCGACTTCGACCACACAAACACTGTAATCAAGACCTTAGGAATGCATCTAATTCCAAGCTGCGACTCGTTTGTTTTCAAGGTGAAGTCTGACGAGATGACKTCTTCACAGAGYTSTACAAAGCGCCAGTTTCTATCTAAATCTTCGCGTATTTTCGACCCGCTGGGTTTGCTGGCWCCTGTCCTGATTTTTACAAAGCTTTTGTTTCAAAAGTTATGGCTGTGCGAAATTGAATGGGATGACCCTTTACCTGACGAGCTTTTTGAGGCATGGTCTGACTGGAAAATGGACCTGCCAAAGTTGCAAGAAATTAAGCTGCCACGTTTGATTGTGCCAAGGGGCTTAAGCCATGTAGTTTGCTACGAAATTCATGGATTCTCTGATTCTCTTCAAAAGAATATCTCTACCAAGACTGGAGCTGTGTGGAGCACTTCTCGTTGCACGACTTATGAAGAGGGTTCAAGAGGCACTCAACTTAAAGCTTGACCTGTACGGTTGGACGGACTCGACTGTTGCTCTTAGGTGGATTCGTGGTGCACCTTCTAAATGGAAAGCTTTTGTGGGAAACAGAGTCAGTGAAATTCAAGACATTGTCTGTCCTGCTATTTGGCGTCATTGTCCATCTGTTGACAATCCTGCCGACTGCGCTACACGGGGCAACGTCAAAGATTTTGGATAATAGGAATGAGAGATCTGGTGAGACGATTCGTGAACAGTTGTGTCAAGTGCAGACGACAAAGAGCAGAAAGCCTGCAGCAGTTAATGAGTGCACTACCAAAGGAAAGAATAACGTCTCAAAGAGCTTTCCTGACCACTGGCATAGATTACGCGGGACCTATTTTTCTGAAAACTGGACGTGGGCGTGGAACACGAAATGAGAAAGCCTGGTTGGCCTTGTTCGTATGCTTTGCTGTAAAGGCAGTACACATAAGAGTTGGTGAGCAGTCTCTCAACAGAGGACTTCTTCGCAGCCCTGAAGAGATTTGTTTCGCGCTGYGGGAAACCAAGCAAAATCTACAGTGACAACGGCACAAACTTTGTCGGGGGCAGCAAGGAACTAAAAGAGATTTATCGACTAGTACGCTCCAAAGATCACAACGAAAGAGTGTCCGAATCTGTACATCACGACGAGATAGAATGGCATTTTGCACCTCAAAGGGGTAGTCATTTTGGAGGATTATGGGAAGCGGGCGTCAAGAGCGTCAAGTACCAGTTACGCCGAATCGTTGGCAACGTAAGTTTAACGTTTGAGGAAATGAYAACCGTTTTGTGCCAAATTGAAGCCATCTTGAATTCAAGACCATTAACGCCTCTCTCTACTGATCCAGCCGATCTTCAAGCATTGACCCCTGGACATTTCCTGGTCTCTGCGCCTCTGAATGCTTTACCAGAACGTGATGTAACAGAAGTTAAAGTCAACCGACTGAATAGATGGCAACATGTACAGCAAGTGCATCAACATTTCTGGAAAAGGTGGTCGAGTGAATATCTAACTACAATCCCGGACAAAACTAGCTGAGACACTGGCATTTTTTCACTGCAAAATATCCCATTTCTCGTATCTCTAAAAAATCACTGATTTTGATCCTCCCCTCCCCCATCAAGCAATGTTGTGTGTGTGACGTGATGCTAGAAGGGTGTGCATGATTGTTCAGTCCTTTCCACATTGATTTGAGGGGGAAAGGGGGAGAGTTGCACAGAAATAGGCAAATAGATCATCGAAATTAAGCCTATTTTAAGAAACGTCTCAACAGTTTTGTCCGGGATTGTATTTTGACAGTATTTGGTTTTTACGCGAAACATGAATCATAGCATAGTTAAAGTGCTTATAAAATAGATATTACGTGAACGCACTTTGACATGTGACTTTCGTGCTGGTGAAAAAAAAAGGAAAGAAGTTACAATCAAATAAACAATATCGCGCTACTTTGTGTGTTACCTCAAAATAGGCCAATTCCATGTGCTAATTATAGTGTGTCGCAATCTCGACATTTTAAACGGCTACAGAACGATTACTAGATTATGAGAGCAATAATTCAAACTTAGAACAACCCGAAAATATTGCTGAGACGGAATCCATGAACAGGAATGCTGATTGCTTAGGAATACAACTTCGTAAGTGTGGGTCCTGAAGGGGGATTGTATGTATGCTTCGCTGGACATACATGTATTGTTCCATGTATTTTGTCTATGATCTTCTCCGTCCAATGAATATTTTAAAAAACACTTCAATCAAAGTTTCAAAACATCTAAAATGCAGCTTTACGTTTGAATTAGATCTACACAACATTATACAAACGGCAGTTTTAATCCGGAAGGTGTCCTATTAATCGTCAGATTTGCGCGCGCGATCCTGAGTGCACGTACCACCCTATCCTGGAATTTCTCAAACCTATGCGTGATTGTGATGACGTAATGCAAAGGTCAAACTCAAGCTAACACAGTACTCACCACAGTACTCACCCATAAATCTATGTTTTAAGCATGCAGTATTATGATACAATGTTAGTGACTAACTATAGCATGGCTATGAAGTGCTGGACTTATGCAGAAATGAGTCAATATAAGGGGGTGTAACGTCAATTTCTCATCAGTACTCACCCTAAACACTTAAAAACCTTAATAAGTAATGTTTACAACATGAGCGGCCGTGTTGTATGGGAAATTACAATCTCGAGCCGCAGGCGAGAGATTGTAATTCCCATACAACACAGACGCGAATGTTGTAAACGACTTATAAAACTCCAACACAAATTAACATGAATTACAGTGAGATAAATGACGAAAAATGACAAATAAGGTAACTGCTGAGTTTAGTCTCTATTAAGCATGCGCAATTTACTGCAACACAGAACATTTTGAATAATTATCCATCCCACATGGAAAGCAAGCCATCTGTTGCATAAGCCAGTTCTGTTATCCGTCTTTGATTGCTTCAAAACCTAGTGAAGGTCTATGATGCGACACTAAAACTGAGACCTTTGCTAGTGTTGGGTTGTCTCAAGGTGACGACCGTGTTGTAAATCTTATACAACACTAGTGTTGTATCACAGTGTTGTATCTGATTTACAAGGTCAATCACCTGATGAAATGGACAACCCTTATTGGAGTAATAGCTCATGCATTATTAATAAGTTTTATAAGCGAAAATAAACACATTTGTTACGTGAGTACTGGTCGGAGCACTGAAATAGCAGTCGGGGTCATATCACTTTTGTTTTTGAGTAAAATTTGTTAAAGTAWCTCCTTGTTGATTACTTTTCATGCGATATTTAGCAGCTTTTGAAGGAACTACAATCGTTGACAAAAACCTTGGACCATTCCAGCGAATTTCCTCATTTTAAGCAACACCCGCAGACAATTTCATCCCCCCTGACCCCCTAAATGCAATGTTGTCATTGATCATGTTACCATAGTACACAAGCATCCAAAACAAGACCCAACATTGATGAAAGGGGGCTACGGGGGAAAACTGTCAAAAAATAAAGGAGAAAAATGTTAGGCTGAAGGTAAATAATTGTACGGTCCAAGGTATTTTGGCAACGATTGTAGGTGACAAATCTACACGGTAAACATCACGCAAGCAATGCAGACGTGACTCAAATCGTTCACTCTGATAGTCTTTCATGTGAAACAAAGTAAAAATATGGATAGACTTATTCTWATTGTAGTAATTTAAAGGTTATGTATTAAACCACAATCATATCCTGAAAATCAGACAATTTTCGAAGTGTCGGTGATTTTYGGCGCGGTAGTCGCGGTGGTATTATCGTTTAATGAACGATCTTAAACAAGATGGTTATCCCGCTCTATAAAACCATAATCGCTTCAATATTCATCTAGGAATACTCGTGCGTGAATAGRATTGTTTTCTTTAATCCAGAAGAGACAGAATCCCTCATAAAATTGAAAATTTAGGCTATGCAACTCAGAATCAGACAGCCACGTTGCTTCACTCAGCTACGATCGGTTTATGTCTCGCCAAGGAAAATGCACTATTTGGCTCGATACACCAACCTTTATGACCTACATGTAAACCAATGTCCTAATACATGCTCTTACACAGATGAATGTTTTGGAATAACAAAAGGCCTCGAATATCAAAGAATTACTAAAAAACTACAGTAAATCCCGGGCAGTTATTGCTGTTCTATGATACGTTTGTTTAGAGTACTGATTYGTATCTAGAGGAGCCGTCGATCGTATAACTTGAGACCTCTTCGCCTTTAACAGAAAACTTTCCGCTATTCCAAATACTCAGATGAGTAATAAGCGGTAGAGTCTGACCTCAACAGCCGATAATTCYGAGTTTTGAAGAATATTTCACGAGTAATTAAGAGCGAATGTCCTCAAGCATCGAGAATCTGATTTCAGTGACCTCTTGGTCAAATTCTTCATACTTTGCCAGATGACACCTTTAGGTAGACATTTTCCAAAAAGCATATTAAATGCTTCCAGGGAATTTTTATTTTTGAGAAATTCGCCAAAGTAAAAGGTCGTAAAATATTGCTGCAACAACATAATTATCGTGGCTCGTAATCAGTCTGTACAAAGGCCGAAAACAAAGCGATGCAATGGCCTTCAAAACAATCCAATCACGCTGAAATTTTRCACAAACATAGTTCATTCAATGCTAAATGAAATTAGAAAAACAGTTAGACCTTTTTGCAAAATCTTTTGAAATATGTACCCTATGTTTATCGGCAGAAAAATCTTCCTGGTACCTAATTTTTTTTATCATGAACTTGATTTTCTAATTGACATGCTAACAAATATTATCTGTATCGAATTTCAAGCTCGAAATCGAAGTATTTCAATGTGTAATCGATCATCGATTATTCTCCATTATCGGGTCAGAAGTCAATACTTTTAAGCTTTTAAGCGTTAAACGTTAAGAGTAAACCGTTAAAAAGTTTTGGCAAACCGTTAGCAAAGCGTTAGCTACATTTTTGAAAGCGTTTGCAAAGCGTTAGCTTTATTTTAAAAAGCGTCAGCAAAGCGTTAGCTCCATTTCCGAAAGCGTTAGCTCCATCTTCGAAAGCCGTTAGCAAAGCTTTAGCTCGCGTGATCTGGGTGCTTTTTCGAAACCGTTTATTCGCGAAAAGTTAGCGAGATCTGTTGAACTGCAAATAGTTTTCATAAATAAACGTAAACCTCGATGGAATCACGTTTGAAGAGATTAGATCACAAAAACCAAATATCTAAACCCACAACTGTCGACAACTGACTTGACTTTCTATAAAAGTATCARACATTGAGCTCAGTTTTACTAAATGGTTTAGTGATAGTCAAATATTTCCGGACTTTRATTGTAAAGAATTTGAATTATCATGTTGGATGAAAGAGTATTATAYACCTATTTCAAAAAACGTTGTCGTCGCCAGGACACAGTACACAGTCTTGAGTCTGCAAAGAATCTCGGGAATTTCTATGCGTAATTAATATATTTAAAATATATTTGCCTGTGGGTTTGAATTCAATGGCGG